ACGCCAGACACCACATGGTCCTTCAGCATACGCAACACGTCCCGACGGACGCGACGCTCAAACGTCGCCTCGTAACGTGCCTCGTAGTGGTGATGGTCAGAAAATGTGGCGGGCCCCAGCAATGAGTGCCCCTTGGTTGTCCACGGGAAGCTCCGACGATCCCACATGAGGCTGGCGTCATCCTGCAGCACTGCGTTGCCTCTTGCCGCCTGTCCATCAGGTTGCACGGACACTAGGGAGAGGATGACGTGTGCGTTGGTGCCCCCGAAGCCGAAGGAGCTGACGCCTGCCACGAGCCCACCGCCGTTGTTGGGAGTGAGCTGGAAGCCATCACCACCAGACGGGAAGACGACGGGGAAGTTCTCAATGTTGATGTTAGGGTTCAGTGTCCTCAGGTGCAGGTTGGACGGCACACGCTGCACCTGGAGGCAGCAGATGGTCTTCAACACACCTGCAATCCCTGAGAGATTAGACAAGCGCATCAGAGACCAAGTGTCAAGAACGCGAATGACGACCGTTGCCGTCCATCATTCCTACCTGCTGCTCCCTCCAGATGCCCAATGTTGGTCTTGATGGCTCCGATCGGCAGTGGTGACCCATCAACCTCACGACGGCTCTTGGCGAAGACGGCCTTGAGCGCCGCGACCTCGATGGGATCCCCGAGGGCGGTGCCGGTGCCGTGCGCCTCGATGTAGCATATGTCATTGGGCTTCAGCCCTGCACTCCGCAGGGCTCCCTTTATCACATTCTGCTGGGAGATGCCACTGGGCGCTGTCAGAGCAACCGCACGGCCACCGTGGTTGACAGACGCGCCCCGCAACATCGCTAGCACCTGATTGCTTCGGCTCTCAGCAACCACGTCGTCAAGGCGCTTCAGCACGATCGCTCCCGCCCCCTCGCCGCGGACGTATCCGTCGGCCGATGCGTCGAACGTCTTGCATCTGGCGTCTGGTGCCATGAAGTGGGCCTTGCAGAGGGCGATTGTCGTGTGTGGGCTGAGCATCATGTTTATCCCTCCAGCCACGGCGGTCCTGCAGCCATCAGCGTCCTTGCGGAGCGCCATGGAAGCCGAATCGATGGCGACGAGGGAAGATGAGCAGGCCGTATCAACAGTCAGGGAGGGGCCGTGGATGCCGAGGATGTAGCTGATGCGGTTGGCGAGGATGGACGGCGCTGCACTGGTGGCCGTGTACGAGCTGACGGCACCAGCACCCAGCTTGGTCTGGATGGACGACCATTCGAATGAGCAGCAGCCGACGAAGACACCGACGGGCTTCTGCATGAGGGCCTTCTTGTCGAGTCCAGAAGAGTTGAGCGACTCGTAACACACCTTGAGCAAGATGCGCTGCTGCGGGTCCATGGACTTGGCCTCCACGTCCGACACACGGAAGAATCCGTTGTCGAACATCTCTGCATCCTTGATGAAGCCGCCCTGCCGCACATACATGCGTCCATCCGCCTCTGGATTGTTGTCGTAGAACTGATCGACGTCCCATCTTGTCTGGGGGATCTCGTCGATGCCGTCCATGCCGCTGCTGAGTGCATTCCACAGCTGAGCCATGGATGAAATGCCTCCCGGCAGGCGGCACGCTGCACCAACGATGGCGACCTGCGCGGCCCTGTCCGACATTTCGGTGGAGGGTGTTGGGGAGACACACTGGGACTCACCGCCATTCATCTCCTGAACAAGGAAGGCAACCACTAAACGAAACAGGCACAAGACGAGACAAGAAAGAGGGGCGTACGCTTGAGGCACAAGACAGTCATGCGTCTGTGAGCGTTTCTCACCTTGCTGGAGTGTTTCAAAGCTGAACAATAATGTGACGTCGATGTTCTGCCCGAGTGCCTTCGAAAGCGCCTCAGCGAATTGCACCGCCTTTAGACTACTCACCCCCAATTCCTGCAAGGCATTGTTCAATTTGGCGTCGCAACACATACATACGTACATACGTTTGTCAACACATGATGCACAGGTGTCATCTGTGTCGATCGCTTTACCTGTATGGGTGCATGCAAGTCAAGCCCTTCCGTGACGCCGAAGACGGTCCTCGCGCTCTCAAATATGGCTCCTTCCACAGTCTTGATCTGTGCCTGCGTGATGGCGTCCCTGGCAGGGGTGAGCGACAGAGGGGTGTTGGCTGTCGAAAGGCTTGATTTGCTTGAGGACGGGCTGGCTGTTGTGGAGGACTGGTGGGTGGAAAAGGACGGGAATCTCTCCCGTGAGCAGGCCTCGCTTTCCCCGTCGAGAACCTCAGAGTGCAGCACGCCTGAAAGCTTGCCATCCAGGATGGCGCCACGTGTGAGCGAACGTCGCACCTTTCCGCTGGTCGTCTACACACACACGAGTAGTACATCGACACACGACCGACAGGAGCGTGTGCACTCCTCTGTCTGTCTTCACACGTACTCACCTTAAGAATGCTGCGCGGCTTGACAAGCCAGATGCGATAGACGGGGATGCCAATCCGAACAGATACAGCCTTTGCGATCTCTTTTGCCTTGCTGTGATAGTCGGGTTCTTCTTGGCCGCCTCCAGTGAGCCAGGTGAGGAGGCTGGCCGCCTGTGGCTGCTTGAGCTCGACGCACAGGGCCAGCTGCTCCGTGTCGTCGACATCCAAAGCGAAGGCGACGCTGCAGCCCTTGCGCACCCCAGGCACATCCTCTATCACCTCCTCGATCTGAGATATATGAGTCAACGGCACACAGACCGAGCCACGCATGCCTGCATGAGCCGAGCCATAGACAGATATGTGAGCTTACGTCCGACGGGAAGACGTTTCGACCGCGCACGATGAGCATGTCTTTGATCCTGCCAGAGATGAACAGCTCCCCCTGGTGGAAGAATCCGCTGTCGCCCGTGCGGAGGTAGTTGGGCGTCGACAGCTCGCCGGTGAGGTACCGACAGCAGCCGTGGAAGGTCTCCTCGGTCTTCTCGGGTAAGTTGAAGTACCCGGCGGCCGTGCTTGCGCTTCGAACCCAGATCTCACCCATGCGGCCTGGAGGCAGCTCCCTGAGGGTTTCAGGGTCCACGATTCGTATGTCAGCACCCGAGATGGGGGGAGGGCAGCCGCACCCGACAAACGCCGCCGGGGTCACCGAGGGGGGACACTCACCATCCACCAGCTCAACCACACCCTGACATGAGTGACAGAACACAACCAAAACAAGCAACAGACAGGACGGTCGGGGGAACAGGCAGGCAGCCCGTGTGTATGCGGGTGGGAGGGTGTATGTGTGTGTGTGTGTGTGTGTGTTGACCTGTGTCCTCAGCTTGTTTGCATCGACCGTGACGATGAGTGGGTCGTAGCTATACCCCCAGCGACCCGTTATGAGCAGCGTGTGCTCCGCCTTATACAAGGCAAAAAAGGCAAGGTAAGCCTCTCTGTGCGTGAGGGACTCCTTTCGTGTTGTGCATGCTACCATGCCATATGCAGGGATGAAGGCACTTCGACGAAGACCGGCTGGCTCAAATTTCTTGATAAACTTGTTGACAGTGCTGGCTCTTATTGGCTCTGCGCCGCAGAGAAAGCCGCAGACGTGGCTGAGGTCGAGCTGGTCGAAGATCTCCTTCATCTCAGGCCTGTCGAGCTGCTTCACGACGAGCTCGAAGCCAAAATTAGGAGAGGCGGTAGCGCTGCAGTGGTAGCGAGACATGCATTCCAGCCACAAGCTCGGCCGTCTCAGGAAATCAAGAGGCGAGACAAAGAAGGACTCGCATCCGAAGAACATTGGGCAGAGCGAACACCCGATAAGGCCTGCAGTGCGGACACAACATGTATGGAGCGAGCAGGCCAGTGTACGCACGTCGGCCGTACTTACCCATGTCATGGTACGCGGGCAACCATGAGAAGGTACGCGGTCTGTGCCCTCGCGTCTTGAGACTGAGGGCATGTCTCCTTTCGGTGAATGCTGGCCATGACTCCAGGGGCAGTAGGGTGAGGCTCTCGTCGGGCGCGTCGGGGGCATCGATACAGGTATTAAAGCCGAAGACTGCTGCGCACACGTGGATGTTGTGCAGCAAGCAGCCGTGCGTCACCATCACTCCCTTAGGATCGCCAGTGGAACCTTACAACAGACAGGCAGAGCAGAAGGAGCCAAGGCCACACGCATGTGCCTGTCCGTCCGTTCGCACCTCCCTCCCTCCCTCCCTCCCATTCACCTGATGTGAACTGTAAGAACGCCACTGAGTCGAAAGGGATGGCTGGTGGCACGAAGTCTTCACTTGCGCCGTCGTTGGTGAGATTGTCAGTGCTGACCCACTGCAGAGCGGTCCACCGACTGTCCAGTGACCGAGCACGGAGGGTGATCAGCAAGGTCACTCGCTTGTACATCCTGATACGGCAACCACAGGCAGATGACAGACACGCGCGATGAGGGAGAGATAGACTAGTCATGTGGAAGAGCGTGTGTGATACTTACTGGTTGGTGAGGGTGTAGGTGGCTTGTGAGGAGTGAGCGATTTCGCACAAACGGGGAACATCGATAGACAAACGACGCGGGTCAGGAGGGTATACCTGTTGGAAACATTACACGCCCAGTGTGTCTGCTTATGGGCCCTGATATGTGTGCATGGCAGTGTTGCCGTCGCAGCGACCTTACCGGAACAGCCACTATGCCAGAAACCATGCAAGAAAGGAATGCAATAATGAAGTCGACACCTGCGCACACACAAGCAAGCAAGCAAACCATGCCTTCGAGGCGAGTCGGTCAGTCGACCGTCCTGGTCTCTTCTCTTCTCCGTGTGTGCTGTCTGTCTGTCTGTGTGTGTCACTGCCTCACTCACCGGGTGGGAAGCAGAGGAGGACCCTGTCCCCACGACGGAGCCCAAGGTGACTGACAAAATATGCCGACAAGTCGAAGACCCTCTGCTTCATCTGCCGGTACGTCACATGGGCGGTGGGCCTGCCCTCGAGATCCAGCCACGTCTGACAGACTATGTCAGCCATGGTGTGAGACCGCTTCAGCAGCATACGGTGCCATGGTTTGTCACCATACACAGCCAGCAGTCGTTCATTCATCGGGCGACGGGAATCATTCACCTCGTCGCCTAAGAAACACACCACACCACGCAGTGTGTGCTTGTGCGCTCTCACTCACACATGTATTGCTTGTGCGCTGGCAGCCGACCCACCGCGCGGTGAGAAGAAGACGTCGCTATCGACAGCACTCATCTCGTCCACGTCCTCTTAGCCTGAGCTGCTCATGACACCCACAGAAGACAATGAGTGATTCCAGGCCGATTGTGGTTTAGGCTCACATTAGCAGCATGGCGGAGGGAGGGAAGCCAAGAAAAGGAGGGAGGGACAAAAGGGACAAGAGATCGGGGAGAGCTCTCTCCCCCTGTAACCCTTCAAACCCTTAACTGTGTTTTCACGACTGGCGGCGGGAGTCGGGTTTGAGGACCATGTCCGACCAAGAAGCGCTTCCTATTCGCGGTTCATCCGAATCTCTGGATGACTCATCGTCCGGCCGCCATTCGACCGACGAGCAGCTCTTCGGCCTGATGCCTGCCCTTCAGTGGCGAGATTCAGTTGATCTGGATGACGCCAGGGCTCAAGCGGAGCAAACGGTCGTCGAAGCCGAGTCGGATCTCATCCGTCGCTTCCGGGCGTGTGCGGTGCCGAACCAGCGCGACAGCCACATGAGCGCCTGGCGTTCACAATCCCTGTCGGCCGATGATGAATCTGCACCATGCAAGGATGAGGAGTCGCCCAGAGGCACGTCGACCTCGTCCAATGCACCTGATATGCTGCTCGCAAGTGGAGGAGAGCGTAGAGGTGCGTTTCATTTAGGCAACTCAGTGAAGGCAGGCAGGCTCTTTCCTTCCTTCCTCCCTTCGCTCATCTGACTCATGTGTGTGTTGGTCTGCTGGTGGTGTCCCTTCATTGCGCCCACAGACGACGGTTCGAGCCCCGATATCCATGGTGCTCATCCGTGGCATGCCACGTCGGACTCCAAGTCATCTCCTTCGTCGGTCTCCCCGTCGACCTCCGACAAACCAAGAAGGGTGTCTTTTGCCGAAAACACCGCTGACGATGCCTCGGCCATCTCCCAATCATCGGCATTCGAGCTGCTGTCCTCATCGTTGAATGCCAGCATGGTGACGGCTTACGAGGCGCCCGCAGCGAGCCGGTCGCCGGACAGAAGAGCGTCTGCGACTGAGTTGCTGGCTGCCAGCCTGGCCAAGGCAGGAGAGGGTGACCTGGACGAAGAGGGTCAGGAAGGGGCGGACAGCGACGACAATGATTCCAAGAAGGAGGGGACGGGGACTGACGGGGGTTCCGAGGGCAGCCCTCTGCTCGATGACGACACTCGGTCTGAGGACAGGTCGGCACTGCTGCTCAGCAATCTCGACGACACCGGCATGGCTAGGAGGCAGGTCGTCTCACTCGAGTACCTGGAGGCACAGAATGAACTCTTCGACACCTTCAGCAAGAACCAGGCGGAGCTCATGAACCAGACCCTCAACCGCACTGCCACTTCAGTTGCCTTCGATCAGGCGTCCATCTCAGGTAGGTAAGTGGGTAAAGGAAAGATGAGAGCAGGCGGGGTGGGGTGGCTGACGGGAGTCAACGACATACATGCCTCGTGTGCTCGCTGGATGCGCCATCGTCATCTATCTGTGTGTAGATATGTCAACCAACCCGGATGCCGGGTCTCTTGAGGGAGGGCACAGCACGGACCCAAGGGATGCCAAACGAGGAGGCAAGAACCTTCTATCTCGCTTCAACCCGTTCAGAGGTCGCGGTGGCGTGCCTGCCGCCCGGTCAAGCGGTCGCATCCCGGCAGAGGACAGTGGCGACATGCTGGTAGAGCAGAGGACGTCCAATGCATCGTCAGATATCAACCTAACTCCCACAACCGCTGAGGAGCAGGGAGCCGGGGGGCCTGCTGCCGTAAGGGAAAGGGCGGAGGGAAGGACGAGTGGCCGGCTGGTCAATTCTGCCCGACGTGTTGTCGGTTGTGTGTGTGTGCAGAGCGCTGCTTCAGCTGACGTGAAGCGGGGGAAGAAGCGACACGGGACTGCAGGGGCGCTCCCTGACCCGGAGGTGACCAAGGAAGAATGAATGCCCAAATGCAGTGTGTTTCCTCCACCTAACTGATGTGTGTGGACTCTATATATACTTGTTCTTCTACTCGCTGCAGGTGGAAGGTAGCCGCCTTGTTCCTGTGCGCACGGCGAACAAGCCCTTCAAGGTGAGAGCCCGGTGGTCGAGACGCTTGCTTCACCCGTAGTGTGGACGTATATATACGCCCGTCTGTCGTGCCTTGGTCCATTTTGTTGTTTATTCATTCGTTCAGGAGTTGAGCAGCGTATGGTTGGTGCGTCAGCTGAAGCTGCCCGAGGAGTGCCCCGTGTGGTCTCTGGCGATCTCACCTGACGGCCGGTGGCTGGCGGCGGGGGGGATGGATGGGGCCATCAGGCTCTGGAACCTCAAGGGTGGGTGGGTGGGTGGGTGGGTGCGGGGTGTGCTCACGACACGTCCAAACACACTTGCATCCTACGTACATACACACCCCAGCCTCTGTGTGCGTTATTGATCACTCATTCAGAGCACCTGTCTGCGCCGCTGTCGCCCCCGCCCCCACCGCCCAAAGAGGAAAGCATCCGGCGCGCGAGGTCGCGTGACTCCGACTCGATGCCGCTCGACGACGACCAGGCGACGACAGACTCGGCGCCAGCTCCGGTTCCGCTTCCCAGGGGGCTCGATGGCACAGCTTTATCCACTCACAGCACGGATGCGTCAAGCAGCGGCGGTTCCTCTGCCGAGATGCCTCCCAGGACACTCAGGGGGCACAAAGCATCCATCATCATGCTGTGCTGGGACCCGAGGCCGCAGGTCGGTGGGAGGGACAGCAGAGGGAGGAGGGATCGGATGGGGCAGACAGAGTACTCAGTCAGTCAGTAAGGTAGCCAGCCAGCCAGCCAACGAGATGGACACAGATTTTTGTGTGTTTTGCCTGGCGTGTCTCTCTCTTCTTGCTGGCAGAATCAGCGGCTTCTGTCGACAAGCTTGGACAAGACTGTCCGCTTGTGGCGTGTCGATCGAGATGGGGCCATTGCATGTCTTCAGTGTCCCGACTACCCCACTGCGGCGGCCTTCAATCCACTCTACAAGGTAGACTGGGACGGACGGATGGATGGATGGGATCTCCGTATCATCCACCCCCAACCCCTCGTGACCTATCTATGTGCTGTGTATGTGTGTGTATATGAATGCATGAATGTGATGTGTGGGCAGGATGTGGTCTTTTCCAGCACGTTGGAGGCGGCCATCCAAGTGTGGCGCCTACAGCCCCTGGCCAAGAGCAGGGGCCCCAGCAGCGGCAACGTCGGTGGCCAAGGGGAGAGGGGGGACAAGGACCTGCTCTACGAGGGCAAAATCATCGAACGAATCAACGTGGATGAGTGGGTCACCTCCCTCTCTATCTCTCCTGAGTGAGTGAGTCACTGAGTCAGCGAGGGGAGAGGGAGGGCACCACAGACCACAGCGTCTGTCAGGTCAGGTTCTCGCTTCGCTCTGGTTTTCATTCTTTTTTCAGTGGCAGTTTGTTGGCGGTTGGCTGCCGGAAGGGCAGTGTGGTCTTCTACGACGCTAAGGTATGTGGGTGGGTACTGACTTGCTTGAGCACAGCACGTTGAGCAAACACTGCCGTCACTCTCACTCAATCACCGGGAGGACTGGGCACTTTCTTGGCTTGTGTGTGGCTGACCTGTCCTGTCCTGTCCTGTGCAGACGCTCAAGTTTCGCTACGCCAAGGACTGTCGCAATCGTCGTGGGAAGCACGCCAAGGGGAAGAAAGTGAGCGGACTCGTGTGGAAGAAGGACAGCACGGGGCTCTGCGTCACCACCACGGACTCCAGAATCAGACTCATCTCACTCGCGGTCAGCTCAGCTGAGATGAGCTGCCAAAGAGCTCACTGCGACCCTATCGTCTCCTTGTTTCAGGACTTGTCTGATGTGTCCAAGTTCAAGGGACATGTCAACGACCAGTTCTCGCTTCACGCCGCATTCTCGTAAGGGCAGCGCACACACATCCAATCACTCACCAACGTGCGTTCTGGTTGGTTGGCCGTCTGTCTGTCTGTCTGGCAGCCCGACTGAGGAGCACGTCATCTGTGGCTCGGAGAACGGTTTGATTTTCCTGTGGGACGTACAAAACCCGACAGTGCCCGCCATCAATCCTAAGTCAGTCAGTCAGTCGCTCACACAGCAGCCAATCGACACACACACACACACCTGCCCCCTGGTGGATCAATTGGATTCCATGTCTCGTCTGCGGTTGAATGAAACAGGTTTGGGTTCAGCAAGAAGACCACTAATGCCGCCTTCGAATGCTTCCGAGGTCGACAGACACAGGACAGACAGACGCCCAGAGCACTAGAGCCCTCGAGCTGTGTCGTCTGTCTGTCTGTCTGTGATCAAGATCTTGTGTCTGTGTGTGTGTGGCGTCTGTTTGCATTGCAGCTTTTGACGAGGTGTTGACAGCCTGTATCGTGGCCCCTCAATCGTTTGTCAGTTTGCTGGTCAACGAGGTGTTCCACCCCCCACAGCATGCCACCCGTTCCCCCTCGTCAGTCGTCCCTGCACCACCGCCCTCGGCAGCACCATCAGCCACACAGCCAGAGTCGTCCATGCCTTGCGTGGCCGAAGACCCCCCGCCGACCCCCCGGAGCGATGTGTCATATTCAGCTCGCGGCGTGCCTCCACTGCCCCCGTCGCAGCTGGGGCAGACATCGGAGAGCAGGAGGCGGGGCCCACTCAATCAGCTGTGGCGGGGCAGGCCAGGAGGGGTACTACCCACCGGCAGGAGCGCGGGGGGCATCTCCAGGGCAGCCAGCCACGCACAGCCAGAGGGAGGACACGTCACAAAGGCACCCTCTCAAGCCTTCACCAGAAATGATTCGCTCCTCTTGGCCGACAATGGGTATGTATGTACAGTACGGTACCAACTTGAACGCGATGCGATCCCATTAATCAGACGTGACTGACGTGTGGACAGTGTGGCTATCTCGGTGTGGTCGTTATCTCGTTGGCGTCAGGTACACAGCCGAGTACGTGGGGTTCGTGGCCGCGAGTTGGCGTGGGCGGGTGCGGATCTTCCTCAATGTGGGTAAAGCCAGGCGAGTCTAGCTACCCCTCCAATGTGCGACATGTCCATCCATCCATCCGTCACATCCATCGATGCGATGCGTGTGCGTGGCTGAGTCTTGTCCACCCAAGACCGACCGACCGACCGACCTGAGGAAGGAGGGAGGGAGGGAATCCTCGACCGTGTGTAGGCATGCAGGCATGCTGGGTGGGTGGGTTGTGTAGACAGGCCAGACGGACTCAGTGGGTGCGGTGCGACATGTCGTGTGACCGACCGGTGCGGTGGTCTGTTGACCAACACGTACGTACGTACGCTGACTGTGTAAGGCAATGAACGAACTCTTTTTCCGTTTGGCTGGGATGGGCTGAATGCATTGCAATGCATGAACGAGTAAGCAAGTAATGTACACTCTTAGCTGACATCAACGTGATGCGTACGTACTGTCCGTCCCGTGAGTGATGTAAGACCGACCTGCCTGACATGTATCAAGCCCCGATCAAATGCACGTCTCACAAGTACGTACGTACTGGCTTCCTGAATGCCTGCCTCATGTGCGCAGCCCTTGCCAGCAGAGCTTCGTTTGTTCCAGCCAGCCATCGGTCACTCCGCCCCGCCCTCTTGTGAGTCAGTCAGCTGGCATTGGTAGTCCCGCTTTCGCTGGCCTCGGCTCCTTCATACTCGGGCAGGCCAAGGGCCCGTAGAAGACGGGCCTCTATGCGGTCCTGTTGCTGGACGAGAAATACGCGTCTGTGCCGCCGCCGCAGTCGCCTGTGCTTGAATGCATAGCAGGCCAGCGTCGCGCCACACAAGAAGGGCACACCCATAATCGCAAACATGATGAACCCAACCAGCTCGGCAGCGTCGCGGTGGTCTGACCACAGAGCAGAGAGACAACAGCCGCACCCATCCCATGCCTGCACTGCACGAATGGATGGAGTCACTCTACTGTGGTGTGCTGTGGCGTGCTGTGCAGGCATTCGTTGGTTGGTACGGACCCATGAGGAATTCGACTTCGCCTGCCACGGTGCCGTTGAGCTGGTTGTGGTCGGCGTAGAAGCAGACCTCAAACCACTGCATGTGCTGGAACCTGTGGCGCCACCTCTTGAGCTCACCGTGGTACACACGGTAGTCCTGGCTGAACCTGCACACACCACACCACACGCCGCACCGCAACACACATCCAATGCAATCCGGGCGGTTTCTCCTCTGTCTGTCCTCCTTTCTCGTTCTCCTGTGCGTACCCGAAGGTCGCTTGGCGATTATACTTCTCGGCCAGCTTGGGGCGTGTGGCTGCGTGGAAGACATTCTCATCAGCGAAGCCCTTGCAGTTCCACATCCGCTCCTTGAGAGCGATGATGTTGTGCTGAGAGAAACTCTGACCTCCTGTGTGTCAACCAACCACCCAACCAACCAACCACACACGGATACGCACAGGCCTCCCTCGGTGGCTCACATGCCAGAAATGACGTGGTTGTGTAGTGAATGCCTGTGCGTACGTACGTATCGTGAGGGCCAGTTCCCACCCAGGGTTGAGGAATATCCTCACGGGGACCCGCTGCCCACCCACCAGCGGCGGCTGCACCACGGGAGCTGTACATACCCACACGCAAAACCAAATGGATGGATGGCACTCATTCCATGTATGTTTGTGTGTCGGCCTGGCCAGTCGGTCTTTCTTACGGTCGTGGAAGACGAGGGGTCCAACGTCGACAGCGCCGTTGGCCTCCTCTTCGTCTCGGTAGCACACAGAAATGTGCGACACGGGGGGGACGGGGAAGGGGAGGACGGGGAAGGGGAGGACGGGGAAGGGGAGGACGGGCAGGGGGAGAGGAGGGGACGGGGATGGCGGCTCAACATCACTCGACGGCTGGTCCCCCTCCTCCTCGCCCAGGGGGCTGCAGTGAGTGACGCCCTCGGTGTCCGGGACGCATATCGGCGCAGCTGCTTTGTTGATCGGCCTGGGCGGGGCGGAGCTGTTGTCCGCCGGCTCAGGGATGGACACTGTGGGCTCTTCATGGCCATCCGAGTCGTTGTGGGGCGGGAGGGTGGGTCTCTCATCGGGGATGCGTTCGGGGATGGTCAGGTTGCCCAGCCATATCAGCACCGCCGCGGGCAGCCGGAAGGCGAGATGGCCATGGATGCTGCTGTGGCGCAGGTCGGGATGACACACCACAGGCCACTCGGAACCGTTACCAGCAGCACTCCCCGCCCGCCGAAAAGCGTCGTCGCACGAGTCAGGGAAGAGGTAAGCGTCTGTGGCGTCCTCTCTGCCGGCCAGCCGTCTCCTCTGAGGGACTGGCCTGTCGCCTCTGACGGGCCGAAATGTCAGACAGGTCTTGTTGGCGGCGGAGACGGTCCTCCATCTGCCCTCCACCCGAATATAGAGGTTGCTGGGACGGCTTTTCGTGTCCCACTCGCTCCGGAAAAGCAACAGCGGGAACTCCTGCCCAGGTTGGGCACCGAAGGCATGGTCGTCAGCCCCTCGCAGCGTGGTGGCCTCACGAGATGCCGCGAGATGCACGAGGATAATGATGCCGACGCCAAACAGCACTCTCGCCGACATGTCGGGCAATCGTCTGAGTCTTGCTGCTGTGCTCCTCTCATGAAGCTTGCTCCTCAGATGGATCAGCAGCTGGCGGAGATTCGTAAGGGGAGGCCTGAACAAAGAGCGGTTTCACGCAAGCCTTAGATCTGCGAGCTACTTAGTAGCAGAGGGAAGACGTCGCGCTGTGATGGCGGCTGATTGAGATGCAGAGTGCAAGGCAGCTGGCGCCCGTGTGCTGCGGACGTGTGCGTCATGCTCACAAGTTTGCTGCCGGGCCGACGCCCAACCTGGACACCATCAAGCGCACCGTCTACCAAAAGATGCAGCCAGTACACTTCGCCATCAAGAATGACTACACTGTGGGCAACTATGTCTACGACAAACACTTCTACGTGCGTGAGGGAGCCGCCGGCCACCCACCCACAAGCTTGGCACACACGAACAGCTTAATTAACCCATTGCACTAATTGCAGAGGGCTCCCTCCCTCCCTCCCTGCTTGATGTGTATGTGTGTATGTGTGTTTGTCGGTGTGCATCTCATTGCAGGGCCTGCTGTGTTCGCCGTTGTTCGAGGGCAAGAGTTACAAGGAGATGCATGAGTTGGTGCAGCGGGAGCTGGAGGCGGCGGGCATCGAACGGGGAAGGGTCTTTCTACACTGCGAACCGCCCTCCAGATGGAACGTACGGACGGACGGATGGACGTGTGTTTGTGATGGATGTGACACACATATCCAGTCCAGCAAACCAAGATCTGATCTTACCCCTCTGGTGTGGTGTGCCTCCCTCCCTCCCTCCCTGTGTGCTGTGTGTGCTTGGTTCCGACAGAAGATTCAGCACAAGCACGTCAGGTGGCGGTGGAACCTAGAGAAGTGACAGCACAGCTCTGCTGCACTGCACCCCACGGTGGGTGGATGGGCTGTGCGTACGTTCGTACGTAGAAGAAGGACGAGGACGGATCAATGCATGGAGTCGTCGGCGTGTCTGTCTATCTGTGTATACTCACTCACTAGTAGCACAAACAAACAGAAAAACACGTTTGTCGTGTTCTGTCTTGGTGCCGTCCGTCGTGCAGTGCACACCACACCCCCCTGAATGTATGAATGTGAGTAATGCAAGTCGGTGACTGCAGTGCACGCTACACAATCAGCCAACCTGCAATCACTCCCACGCTGCTCGCACCGCACCGCACGGTCGATCGATCGTCGTCACTTGTCGTCTTGCTCGCTGACAATAAATACCCCAGCACACCACACACCATGAATGGATTGATGCATTGGTTCCACGACCTACCTGGATGACGACGGATCTTCATCCTCTAAACGGCCGGCGATCTGCTTGCCGCCCCCGCCCGCAGCACCGCCGCCCGCAGCGGCTGAACCATCACCTGCCGGGTACCGCTGCTGCTGCTGCTGCCTGCACACAGCCCATACACACACGTGGCCGGCGTGGGTCGTCGCAGCCAGCAGGCCCCTCCCTCCCTCCCTCCCTCCCTCCCTTTGCCTGGCCCCGCCCCACCGCACCTGAGCCTGTCCTTGACTGTCTTGGACACTCTGAACCCATAGATGCGAGGCACGTACCACTGTGGCCGAGGAGGGACCTGACACACAGACAGACAGACAGACATGACATCCCGACACATTGACTGCCCTGTCAGGTGGAGTGGTTACATACGAGGTTCTCGTAGGTGAGCAGGAAGAGGTGGGGGAACGTCGTGCCGAAGTAGGCGCCATCCAGCATGCCCAGACGATTGCCGCGGGGGTTGTACAACTCCTGTCACACACACACACACACACACACACAGGTCTGTCTGTGCCCTTTCCCCTCCTCCCTCTGCCGTGTTGTCCCCCTCCCAGGACCCACGTACCTGGCATTTGGGGCAGTAGACTTTAGCGCCGGCATGCCTTGGTGTGTCGCACATGCCGATGGGGAGGACGGCCTGGTTCTCGCAGGCGACGTTTGGGCAGTAGCCGAAGACCTGTTTCTGGTAGTTGTGTAGCATGAGCTGCATGCCCCTGCTGGTGATGATGAACCTGGCATGTATGAGGCCGTAGAGCACCTGTGCGCTGTTCTCGATGATGGCCTGCCGGTCCTCGATGGCCCCCGCCCCGCCCCGCCCCATAATGTCGGCGTCCTGCTCCTGCGCACTCGTGTCGTCCTCGGCGTCCAGAATCGTGTTGAGCGCCTGGTCGAAATACGGCACCTGGCTGCTCAAACCTGTCAAGTTGAAGTCATCCTGACATTTATTGATCCACACACATACACACAGACAGACATCCACACATACCACACCATACCATCCATCCATACAGCCAGCCAACCAACGTGGCTGTATATGTATGACGGTGGTGTGGCCGCCACGCCACGCCTCCCTCCCTGCCATCCTGCCTCGCTGACCTCACTCACCTGTACGTATTCCTCATCGACCTCCACGAAGAACTCGTTGCCTTTGAGTCGGCAGTACCACTCAATCCAGGTCACCTCCTCGTCCAGATCGCTGCCGCTGCCGCTGTTGCTGGGCGTCACCTCCTCGCTGTTGCTGTACTCGTCGCTCTCGTCCTCAAACTCAACCTCATTCTCATCCCGCAGCCCGCGGTGGTGTGGTGGCACACGAGGGTCACGATCCGTACCGTTCGGCTGACCACCTAACATATATCAACCACCAATGGACTCACTGCTTGCTGGGCCGCTGCAGACAGACAGACAGACAGACAGGCAGGAAGCGGTGTGGAAAGGAGGTAGGGAACGACATGGATCTTGCCTCAAATGCGGCCACGCCTGCAGGATGAACAGAGTACCTCCACACCTGCACACGCACGCTGCTGATACCGTTGATACGCTTCAAGGCAGTTCAACCCTAAGGTGTCGAACTTTCGCGGGTAGGGTTTCACCTTGCCTGTGTCTTCCGCGTCTACCACAGTTCCCGAAGTGGTTGTCACTGTTCTCGTGTGTGTGTGAGAAAGGACAGTCCTCGTGTCACAATAAGACCAACGTGGTTGTCTAGTTCCGACGTTGATCCCCACGTGTGGCCAGTGAGGCCGCATCTGAGAGGATGTCCGGTCATCGGGGACCCCCCTTCCCTCTGGGGAAGCCACATGACCGGTTTCGGGACTGGCACGAGACCGATGACCTCGACAGCGGCATCATGGGGCGGGGGATGGGGACGGTGCCGGGGATGTCGCCACACAGGGCGGGGAGTGATCCCTACGGGGAGGAACCGGTGTACAGGTCAGCTCTACACACAACACGCACAAAGGTCACACAGACGAAAGATCGGGAGGGGGGTCGGTGTGGTGGCTCGGATCTGGTGGTGGACGTGTCTCGTGTGTCTCTGCTTGCTGTGCTTGTGTGTGTCCTCTCTCCCTCCCTCAGAGGTGTGGCGGCTGTGTCGTCTCCCGCGCTGCCGTCCGACTTGATGGGTGGTGGGATGGGTGGCAGCGGCAAGGACGGCATGGCGGCGGGCAGGCCGCACCTGTACAGCAAACAAAGGCCGTCACAGGGGTTCGTGGGAGGACTGCAGTCAGGTACGGTACCCGACAGACAAAGAATGAATGATGGGACGGACATGTCACGCACCTGACACACACAGACCGACCGGCGACCACTAATGGGGTGTGTGGTGATGTGTGTATGTGTCAGGTCCGCTCTCCCCGCATTTCGGCTTGCAAAGCAAGCACGATATGAGGGTGTTGGAGCACGAGGCCAGGCTGGAGAGCGAGCAGGCCTGGAGATACTTCAACCCATTCTGTAAGCTACCTACCTACCTACTCGACAACCACACGCGCAACACGCCCTCATTCATCGATTGCCTGCCTGCCCCTCTCTGCCTACCTACCTGCCTGCCGCAGATCACCCCAACGTGCCGTCGACGCCCGACAGTCCGTTCTTCAGACTCAACGCCACGACGCTCTTCCTGCGGTCGCAGCGCGGCGATGCGGGCGCCTCGGGCAGCCCGCTGGCCTGCGAGATAGCCAACCAGCTCATGAACGACTTGGAGAGCGAGGCACTCATACCATGCGACGTCACAGCTGTACCAGATATTTTTCAGGTAGACACCGACACGCGACCCCACACACAAGGGATGGGATGGACAACTGACTAATGCGTGCATCTGTGTGTGTGTGGGATGCATTGCAGATCAAGGGCACGTTCTTCGTAGAGTCGCAGGCAGTGTTGATAGCGCTCAACTTCTACGTCCACCAACACAGGCTCGTACTCGAAGCCTCACGCTGGATGGTACGTACCTACCTACCCGTGATGACCCCACACAATCGCCATCTCACCCACTGCATCCTCCTTGAATCCTATCTTGTGATGTGTGTTGTGTGCAGGGCGACAGCGTGTCGTTCGTGGTTGTGTTTGAGAAGCTCCGCAAGCGGCTGGACGGCCTGGGGTATCTCGATAAGGACAGCGACGCCGCCTCGCTGCTGCAGCAGGGCGCCTCCACCATGGCTGGGACGTCCGAGTACTCCAGGACGTCTGTGTGCCTGACCCCCCTGCAGCCCGGCGGGGAGCCCAGCAACTGCATGGCGGTGGACAGCATGCGGGACGAGACGGAGCTGGAGGGGGTCATCGACGACATGATGGCGGCAGAGGGACAGATGGGGGGCGGGGAGCGGGGGGCTGACCTGGGCAGGGGGGAGGCACAGCAGGGTGAGCACCAGATAGGCACACCATTGATCAGGAGCTCGCCTTGACTCATCCCTGGGTGTATGTGTTGTCTACTAAATATCAGGTCTGGTAGAGGGCCTGTCTAGTGCATCGTTGCTGAAGCCCATTGTTGAGATGGCCGAGTCGGGGGAGCAGCACCTTGCCGAGGAGGCCGCCTCCATGATCGCACAAATCACCAGTAAGCAAGGCAAGCCGTAGACACCCACACACGGCATCATCTCGTAAGTAATTGTGTCTGTGTGTCATGCAGTGCGTGATCCGTCGTTGGTTGTGCCGGGCGCCCCGTCGCTGTTGTCGTCGCTGCAGTCGCTGGTGAGTGAGGAGGGCCTGCAGCTGATGGCCATGATGCTCGGCGCCGAGCATGACCAAGTGGCCATACTGTACCCCATCCTACTCGCCATCCAGAACATCCTCAAGACACCGCGAACCGGTACGCCGATGCGCGACAGACAAACCCATATCCACACGCACTCATTCAGGTATGCAATGCATGCGTGCCTGCCTGTGTGTGGGTGATGTGCAGATGGGAGTAGCCTGGGCGAGGTGTTGGTGCAGTCGCTGGCGTCTCCTCTGGGCGACTTGTTGCGGCGGTGTGTGGAGAAACAGGGCCCACACATCATCAGGAAACGAGCCGCCCAGATACTCGACACGGCAGAGAGTGAAGGTCAGTGCCTCGCCGACACCACAACACCGCCCCAGCAGCCGACATCACAGTGGATGTCCATCTGTCTTGTCTGACCTGTCCAGGGTTCCTCACACCGGCGCACGAGCAGTCGCTGTGTGCTGAGCTGTGCGGCGGGGCGCCCACACTCTCCACCGCACTCAAACAACTCATGGCCTAAACGCACCTTGGGGGGATGGGTGGGGGGATGGCTGGATGCGTGATGTGTTGTGTGTGACAAGTACATGCGAAGAACAGATAGGTGGTGGGGTGGTCGTCTCAGGCTGGCAGGCAGGCAGGCCAATGCGGCTGGGGGTTTGTGTGAAATTTGTCGTGTTGCCTGACGACAGTTCTTTCATTCAATGATTCCTTGATTGATTCCTTTATGCGTGTCAATCAACTGCTTCGGCAAGCCCTGTGGTGTCCTCTCCCCTTGTCTGTCTGTCTCCCTCTCTGTAAGTATACGACTGATGGATGCATCCATGCAGTCCATCCATCTGTGCTGCCCTGCCCTGCCCCATACCATACCATACCATGCACACCCACACCTGTACACACATGACACAAACAGAGGGGGGAGGGGAGGGTCTAGGTGTATGTGTGACTGACTGCATCGATGGGGAAGGAACACGTGACATCGCCATTCACTTTAGACAGACAGGACACACCAAAATGAAAGTTTGGGCGGGTTGGGGGCTGTATTTTTGCGGCTCTCTCCATCCCTCCCTCCCTCCCTCCCTGCGCCATGCCATCCCCATTTGCCTGTCTGCCTTCCTCCTCCTTCCTTTGTGTGTGTCTGTCTGGCTCTCACTGGCTGCCCAGTAGCAGTGATGGTCGGACAGACAGACACATGAATCAATGATGGGATGGAATGGACGGATGAGTGAAGGGACAATGGACGTGTGCGACGGCTGGCCGACTCGATGTCTGGATGTGGGTGGCTGGTGGAGACGGGGTGCGCAGTGCAGTTTAACTAACACAATTGAGACAGACAGACAGACAAGAGACAGACAGGGGAGGCCAGCTTCCTAACCTCCCTGCCAGCCGTCCTCCCTGCCGGGTGGACCCGTGCCTACCGTACTCGCTGCCTGCATGGACTAATAAACTGGCCGCCCGACTACAAACAACTATTTCCAACCTGTGTTTGCGCGTGCGGCCATCCTGGCTGGTTTTAATGGCTGGCGGGTGAGTTGGGGTGGATGCCTCGCTCGTTGTGATGTCTCTGTGACTGCCTGCCTACCTGTCTGTGTCTGCGGCCCAGCCAATCCAGTCGACGGATCAAGACGCCAGCCGTCGATCGTCTCTTACCGGCTGCCTACCTTCTTACATGACCATGAAGGTGTTGTGTTTGGGTCGTGAGGGGCTGTTTTTGTTATGTGAATGTTCGGTCGTTCTTTTTTTCTCCTGCGTTGCCTGGCTGCCTGCCTGTGTGTAGGGATGTCTGTGTACACGTATCTACCGTACGCACGGCGAGGGGG